GATGAAGGAAGCAAGGGACGGTTTTTGGAAGTAATGGCAGCCAGATTTTTCTCTCCACAATGCACACACGTTCTCTCTCGATAGGGTAACCTCGTTTTCTCCTTTCACACTCAAATCATCCACAAAACGACTAAGGCAAAGAAGTCATATATATAGGCTAGGTTTGGCTTTAGTTAGATCAATAAAACAGGTTAAATGGATCAAGATTCAAAGTCATTCAAGAGATAATATACATATGGGCCATGAGCAATATTAATTGTTTAAGTTACTTCCAACGGCCCACGTTGTTTTTAGGTTGAGTCTTTGGATTTGATTGTTGGTAATAATTTAATACAACGTTTACATTATCATCCAAGATTCATTGGGTATCAAAATCGAACAAATCTCTACCTTGAAACCCAATCAATTTGCAAGCAATCAAAACACAAAATTAACGCTTGCATAATTAAGGCAACCAATAAAATTGGAATCACAGACATTACCTAGTGTTTCGGACCTGAAACACATACCATACCGTTTCAGGTACTCACTAGAGCTAAAGTCACAAACAAATACCCAAGTAGATGTAGATAATCACAGTAATCAATTAAGAGCAAATAAACATGTGGTGGAGATATCATATAGGATAACACAGATCTTTCCCAAAAAGAAACGTTCACACAGAACAACAGTTAATCAATCAAGCGGCCAATACATATGCAACAAATGCATAAATGACCCCACGAAAAGATCTCACCACACTTGTCATATCCCATTTTGTGTTGCTCACACCTCGAGAACATATATCTCACATCATAGCCCAACATGCTCACTAGACTAATCACTCAACTCATGTCTAACTGGTAGACCTCTATAGATCCTAAGTCCTTGAAATAATCATCTATCACCACATCACTTCTCCCAACCTAAATGAATAATGGGTTTCCACCTAACAGAAGTGATTGAAGTGCCTCTCTCACACTCACTTGATCAGGGTCTCTTCATAGATAAATGATTACAACATTTAATCACCTCTCCACTTCTGATCCAAACGTCACACTCAAAATACCTGTACAAACCACCAATATGCCCCTAGGCATTTGTACTACATCTCACCAATAGACATACAAC